CTCCCCCTCTCTCTCTCTCCCTCTCTCCCTCCCCCTCTCTCTCTCTCCCTCTCTCCCTCCCTGGCCTCCTTTGTGACAAGCTCATCTCCCCTGTGGCTTCCATTGTCCTGCCTCACCCTCCCAGCCGCCCTCCTCTGAGCCTGCTCCGCTTTCCTTGCCTTTCCCGGTACCAAGACCAGAACCCCAGGCACCCCCTGAGCGGCCGCAGGGCTCTCTAGAAGTCTGGATGCAGTTCTCCTGTCAGTGCAGGCCCTGCCCAGTTAAACGCCTGCCTTGAATTGACCCCAGGGTGAATGCTGTGGGGAGGGGGTTCATTTGGGAAGGGGTTTGGTGAGGTTGTGAAGGGAGGGGTGGGAACGTAGATTCATTGTGTGCCGGGGAAGAGTGTTTCCTCTGCAGCAGGTCACGAGGAGCGGTTGGGCGCCTCCTCTCTCTCCAGCCCCCGGGGGACCCGTCATCAAACAAACACGCGGGGAACCCTGTCGGTGCAGGATAATGAGCTTATTGTGCGTTTTGCGATTTAGAGAAACAGCACGATGAAGCAGGTGGGATGGAAGGATGGCAGTTTTTCATGAGAGTCGAATTTGGTGGGCGGGGGTCCTTCTAGGCTCCTGCTTGAGGGGCTGGGGTCTGCCGTGGCTGCCAGGGCCTTTGCACAGCTTCATGTGGTGGGGTCTAGAACAGGGGTGTCAAACTCAAGGCCCGGGGGCCAGATACGACCTGCAGGGCGCTTAGATCTGGCCCGATGGGGCCACCCTGGAAACAGTGAAAGGATCGACCCACGGTGCTTCTGCCAGCGAAAACAAGAGCTCGGGATGGCCGCACGCACGCACGCACACGCACACGCAGACACCAGCTCCGTTTTCACTGGCAGAGGGTCGCAGGAAGCTGTTGCAGCCAAAAACGGAGCTTGGGGCCCCCTTTTTGCTGACCCAGTGCTGACCCAGTGCTCGGGCCACCACACCCCCAGCATGAGTGACGTTGAGCTAGCCATGCCTACCTGACCCCCGCCCCCCCAAAGTCAACCCTGATGCGGCCCTCAATGAAATTGAGTTTGACACCCCTGGTCTAGAACGACTCGCTGTGGCCAATTCACCGCAGGACAATTCAAGACTGTGTTGTTGATCTTTTCATCCAGTTACACCTCTTATTGGTGCCAGATAGTTCAAGAAGTCCCTCCCAGGGAAATGAGGCAGCATTCGCACGTGGAGCAGATCTTAAAAGTCATTTAGTCCATGCCGGTGGCCGAAGGGGGTGCTCTGCTGTGGGCATTAGGCATCGGGCATTCAGATTGGTTTATTCATTTCCATAAACCTTTGTGTCGCCTCCTTCGGTGGCTCAGAAATGTGCTCCAGCCTCAGACCCTCCTCAGCTTCTCCCTTGAGATTTGCTGGAAGCAGCTTCAGAGCTTCCCCTCCAGGCCTCCAGGGGGCAGCCCCACTGCCTGAGCAGCTTCCTCCAAGGGCTTTGGCTCCCCCTGCCTGTGCTTCCCTTGGCTGGCTGCCTTTCGTTCCTCGTCTTCCCTCCTCCCCACTGATTGGGGGCCCCCAAAGGGGAGACGACGGAGAATAGAAGCAGGCAGCCCCGGGAGAGCAGGGAGGAAAGATGGGGGCAGTCCTGGTGGGGGGGGGGGGGGGGAGGAGGGCTGTTCCTCAGAGTGGTGCTTTGCTCCATGTTTGATGGGCACCCGCGCTCCCTCTCACGCTTGCACAAGGCGGATACGGGAAACCTCCCCTCTCCCCGTGCAGGGTGAACGACTGCATTTTGTGTGTGAACGAGGTGGACGTCCGCGATGTGACCCATGGCAAAGCTGTGGAAGCCTTGAAGGAGGCGGGCTCCATGGTCCGTCTGTCCGTCAAGAGGAGGAGGCAGACCACGGAGAGGGTGGTGGACATAAAGCTGGTGAAGGGGCCCAAAGGTTTGTCAGGGGGTAATGCTCCCCCCTCCCCCCTCTCCCAAAAGCGGGTGTCCCCCTTCCCCACCCTGCAGAAAAGGCCCTTTCCTGGAGGCAGAGGGGCGTCCGTGCCAGCACTTCCGCTTGAGCCTGGACGAGGCAGAGCTGCTGGGATCCACTCTGGCATGGAGCCTCTCAGCGGACTCCCTGCTGTCCCAGAGAGGGCCCTGGGTCCCTGCCGCACGGCTGTGGGTGGATGCTGACGGCCTTCGCTCTCCTGAAGCAGGTCTCGGGTTCAGCATCGCTGGGGGGGTCGGCAACCAGCACATCCCCGGAGACAACAGCATCTACGTCACCAAAATTATCGAAGGCGGAGCTGCACATAAGGACGGACGGCTCCAGATCGGAGACAAGCTGATGGCTGTGAGTTTAACTTTGTTCTGGCTTTTTTCACCCTCCCTTTGGGCAGTTCTGTCCTCTTTTAGCTTTGCTAGGACTCTCTGTCTGACAACACCAGAGGAGTCTCACTTCTTCTTCCTGCTTCTCCTCAATAGCTAACTTCAAAGTTATATTTATACTTGATTTTAATGAGTTATGCATATTTTTTATAATTTCATGTAGTTCTTCAAATTCCCACCTTTCCATAATGTCCAGTTCCAAAATTACAGTTAGTTATACAGTTCTTGTTTCAGAGTTCGGGTCCACCTTAAATTTAGCTAATTCAGCTAATGTGAAGAAGAAGAGAAGCAGGAGCCACCTTGATCCTTGATCCTTTCTTCTCCCTCCGGCAAAAAACTTCGTATTTTCCCAGCTCTTGATTTTATTTTCCCCCTTGTTACCTTCCACCTCTCATTGGTTAGAGCTGCTTAAAATGCCGTATTTTTTGGAGTATAAGACGCACAGGAGTATACGACGCAGCAAGGTTTTGAAGAGAAAAATTTTAAAAAAAGTTTTTGCACTCTGCAAACTTCCCCAAAACATGCCCGTTTTGTCAAAAAAAAGGGCATGGATAGTCTTTAGGAAGTTTGTAGAGTGCTGCTGGGGGCTGGGGGAGGGAAATGGAAATTTTTTGTTCATTTCTGCCCTCTCCAGACCCCAGGAGCTCTCTGAAAGCCGCCTAAAAGCTATCCACGGTCATTTTGGTGAAGGGGGCGGAGTTTCAGGAGGCAAAAAAATGCTGTATTCAGTGTATAAGACACACCCAGATTTTCACCCCCTTTTTTGAGGGAAAAGTGTGTGTCTTCTGCTCCAAAAAATACGGTATGCCTTTTTCCAAATTCTGATTTATGACAATTGGTTAATTAAAACTTCAGGCTCAAAGTTTCACATTCCATTTGTTGCAAAGACAAGATTAGGTTATAAGTGAGAAAATAATGATTTTTTTCTTGATTTTTTCCCCCTCTTGTTACATTCTACCTCTCATTAATTAGAGTTGCTTAAGATATGTTAGTTAGAAGAAACTTGAATAAAGCAAATCTCCTCAATATGTTGTTTTGGTTTCCGTTTCACCCTCCTAATCTCTTTTAAAGACAAGCCTTTTCAAATCCAAATTCAAAGTTTGTGTTTGAATGGGTTTGTCACTTCTCTGCTTTCTCCTTTCTGTATCCAAGTTGTTTAAAGCAAGTAGTTCTTTTTGGGCTTGTGATTTAACCTTCCATTTTCTTTCTTTCTTTCTTTCTTTCTTTTCTTTTCTTTTCTTTTCTTTTCTTTCTTTTTTTTGCCAGAATCCCGGTCTGTCCATCGATATTATTTATACTCTCAAGGTTCTTTGCCTTTTCCAAATTCTGATTTATATCTATTGGTTAATTAAATCTTCTTACCAGGTTTTTCATCCCGTTTCCTACATGCTCCTGCTCAGATACTTTGGCCAGAAGCCAGCTTTTTATGCAGCCATGTTGCCATGCTCCCTCCCCCAACGCCGATTCAGAGGGCAAATTGACCTATGAGGGACCTGTTGCACTCCCTCTGGGTCTGATGAGACGCTGCCCCTTCTTCACCCCCCTCCCCACAGGGAGGTTCTGATCCAAAAGGATTTCAGCACTGGTTTGTCAGACAGAGTTCATGTGGCGCTCTTCAGAGCTCGCACCTCCCATGTCTGTCCAGCTGAGGAACGTCAGGTCGAATCAAGCAAGCGATTTCTGTAGGCAGTTTCTCCTTTGCCTGATCCGTTGCTTTTGATGTGTAGACTCTTGAAATCCCTTCCTCTCTCATCTTGCTCTGGGAGAGGGAAAAGGGTCTAGGACAACTTGCCATGGCCAACTCGCCACTGGACAAAAGTTACAGTAATACTGAAGAAATGGTGGAATATAATCTTTAAAGAAAGGATGCCAAGAGGGGCAAATGAAATGTGATTATCAAAAATGTAAATATTTTAAATTTTATTTTAAATAATTAAACTGGATTTGTGAATTGTCCCATGGCGAGTTATCCTGCAGAAAGTTGGCTGTAGCGAGTTGCCCGTGGCAAATTGACAAGATGACTGCGGGGAGTTGAAATTTCCTTTTCTAAACCATTCTCTTGGTCTCAATTATAAACCCACTTTTGATACCATTTCTATCTCATCAGATAAACTTATTCTACTGTTGACTTTACATCAGTAACACCTTTTGGGCACAGTCTGTTCATAGAAACAAACCCCATTACTCAGCGAGGGTTGTGAAGCACTATGAAGTGGTATATAAGTCTAAGTTCTATTGCTATTACTGACCTTGTTGATATTGTCGCTGTGTCTGATTCCATTCTTCAAAAGACGCCTTCTGTGTTTTTATTGTCATCGTGTTTTGCATCAGTCACAGCAGCAGTCCGGAGACTTGCTAGGCGAGAGCCCAACTTCTGCCTGCGCCAGTGTGGTCCCTTGCCTGGTGATACAGAGGAGGTCTGTTTTCTTCCAGGGATGAGCTCCTTTTGCCTTTTCCCTCTTCCAGGTGAACAACGTTTGCTTAGAGGAAGTGACCCATGAAGAAGCAGTGGCTGCTTTAAAGAACACGTCTGACTTTGTCTATCTGAAACTGGCAAAGCCCAGCACCATGTTCATCAATGATGCTTATGTCCCTCCTGAGATCACTGGACGTAAGTTTGAATTTGGGGTGGCTGTTTTTTTTTGTTAGAAAAGAATTAACTAAAAGCATATTTTCTCTCCTTGTCCTTTGTTGACATTTTGTTAGGTGTGCCAACAATTTTCTGTTTTGAACGTTTTATTAGATTAAAGAACAAAGTACAAGAGGAAATAGGAGGACACAGTGGGGGGGAGGAGGAGGGGAGAGAAAAAGCCTTGACTTCTGACTCCCTCTGTTGCAGTAGAATAAAGCATTAACATTGAACCCCTCAACCTTTTACTTTTCCGTAATAATATGAAGTAGCCACTGGGTGCCAACAATTTTCATGTGAGAATAGATGGCATTTTTATTTCTGTTGCCCCAGAGCCTGGCTAGCAAAACCATAGATAATGTTGCTAAGGTTCAGTAATAGGAGAGAAAAGAGGGGAAAGATCTTTGCATGGGTTCTGGAGCCAATGGATGGCAAACAGACGGAGAATGATTCTGGCCGTTTCTGCAAATCTCTGGGAAAATCTTCAGGTGCAGGAAGGGACGCTTAGGTGGGTGGAAGTGCACCTCTGCGAAGGGTGGGAGATGTCCTTGACTCTCAACATGGCATAATTAAGACTTTTGACCCAGAAATTTTCTGAGATTTAAATAATTTGTTTGTTTAACATAATTCAAAACCTTCCCCGTTCCTAACATCTTTGAGTGATCAATAATAGGGAATAGAAATTTCATAACAAAAATTAACGCGGAGGCCACATTCAGTTTAGGGCAAATGCATGGAAACAAGGGCTTTGGCTTGCAGAAGGCGTCTAGGACCAGGGCCAGCGAGGCGGGTGCACAAAGGCGACTCCTGGAGGGCCCTCTCTAAACATGAACAGCCCCCCCCCACTTCTGACAGGGGGGTGGTCCCGCTTCTGTGCTGCGTGGGGTCTTTGAAGTCGCAATCGGAACTCAGGGCTGAAGTTAAGGGTCAGGAGTTGCGCCTGGATCCCTATTGGTGACCGCTACAGAATGGGCAGTTGTCACTTACTGACCGCTCATATTTAGTGACCGTTTGAAGTTACAGCAGTGCTAAATAAGCAGATTTATGGCCAGTCCTTGGAGGTTGTGGTGTTGCAGCCTCCCTACAGTCACATCACAGACATTGGAGCACTTGGCAACCAGTGTGCACCTTCACAACAGCCACAATCCTGACCCCCCCACCCACCCCCGCGTGATTGCCGTGTGTGGCCTTCAAGCCACCTTCCGACGATCAAAGTCAATGGTTGCAAGTCGCAGTCATGTGACATTGCGCTTAATGACCATGAGTAGTTCATTTAAAGACTGCCGCTGTAACTGCCGTCGTAAGTCGGGTGCTGTTGCATGGTTTTTCCATTTGCAGCCACATTGCTTAATGAGAGTTGCCAGTTCCAGTCACAGTTGGAAAGTGAGGACTACCCGGAACTTTGAAATTGGTGGCGTTTCCGACTGATGAGATTGCGCCAGCTGTAATTCTGGGCTCCAAGGCAGCCCCACGTGAAGCTCATAACATTAGTCGCGTGGCGGTCGAGAGGGGAATTAACATTGCCAGGGCATCGTGGGTTGACCAGCTTCCGGTGTCTCCCACGGCGGACGTTCCCCTGGCTCAGCCTCCGCAGCTCCTCTGGAGCCACCTGAGTGCTGGACCCGGCTTCACTTTATCCTCCCTTGGCCAGAGTTTCATTCCTTGGTCGTCTGACAATTCAATTACTTCCCTTCCCTTCTTCTTCCTCTTCCGTCCACGAGCTCCTTGAACCCATGGCCTGGTCCTCGGAGCATTGTCTGAAACACTTTCATCCTCTTCATGCTGCCCAGCACTTGTTAGCTTTCTCCTGTGGGCCTCTTTAAAAAGTGCTTGCCCCCCCCCCCCCATTTTGGGATTCTTCACATCTGCAGGTTCAGCTTCTCTTCCAAAGTTTCCCACTGCCAAACAAACGAAGACATGACTGACCCGGGGAGGTGGCGGGCGGTTAGGGGGGCTGAGTTGGCAGATAGGCTGTGTGTGGATGGAGTGACTGCCAGTCCCAGCAGAGTCTGTGCTTGGCGCTCTGAGGCAACCCAGCTCCCTGTTTGGGATCAGGCGGCCAATGCTGGGCTGCCTTCGTGGCTGCCTAAACGCGGGTGACGAAAGGATGAAGGGATGAGGGCAGCCGAGGGGCTGGGAAAGGGCACTCTCCTCTTCCACTCCTCCCAGGTCAGGTGGGAGCAGGTGGAGCTGGGTGATATGCCCTGGCATTAAGGGGAACGTGGCAGGTCAGAACTTACCTATCCAGGCACTTAGCAGTGGCTCCCCATTGGGTTGGGTTCATCCTTGCCTCCCCCACCCCAGTCATCTGGCCTGGAGGTTGAACTGCGGCTGAAAAGCTCCACTCTTTCCGTTCAGCATCTGCAGCTTGGGGGTGCTTGGCAGGTGAAGGGGCAGCTTCTGCCAATTGGCCCCAGGCAGCAGAGGGCACCTTCTTCTGACTGACCTCCCCCCTCCCCCTCCCCAGCTTACTCTCAGCCTGCAGAGAATCACGTCAGCCCGTCAAGTTACCTGGGCCAGCCTTTGCCACCACCAGCCTCCCCAGGGAGATACTCACCTGTTCCTAAGGCAACGCTGGGAGAAGACAAGATCACCAGGTAGGAAGCCTCTCTGCCTCTGCAGCCACTTCTGCAATAAGTCCCCGGCTGAACGCCTGGGGTGGGGGGTGGGGGGCAAGGGCAGGGTGGAGGTGGTGGTAGAAGGGAATGGCCGGCAGAGCAGGGCACCCCAAAGGGAAGGAGGTGAGGGAGGGTGTCTGCGGAGCCATTCACTGCCTAGAAGGAAGGCTCTTGTCAGGACGGCTGAAGCTTTGTAGGAATAGTCTTTCGGTGGAGGCAGACAGTCCTTGACTTATGACCATATGTTTCTGGAAGGGGGGCTTCCAGTACTTTCAGCTGTGTCGCAGAATGTGCACCCCCCCCCCCAGGGCTGCACTTCCAACGCTTGGCAACAGGGCTCACGTTTACGACTTGTCACAGTGTGGTGTGGTCCTTCTCAACACTCCCCCCACCCCCCCCCAGGTTTCTGATGGTTTTTGCCAATTTCCAGAGAATGGATTCAGTTTTATGGCTATATGATTTGCTTAAAGGTTGTATGATGTGAACTTAAAACTATGTGATTCATTTAATGACTGCCATAAATCACATCTGGTTAAGTGCCTTGACTTACGACTGTCACGATTTAACAACTGAAACAGAGGTGGCCATAGGTTGAGGACTACCCGTAATGAAGTGCTGTTCCTGTGGGGTTTTTGCTCTTCCCGGGGCCCTGGCGGTTCTTCCTTCTTCCTCTTGGCTGGACTGACCGTGAGGCCTCATTGCTAGAGGAAAGGCTCATGCCCAGAGGGGTGCAATGGCCAGTCGAGCGATGGACAGCGGGAGCATTTGTCTTCCAAGAAGGTTGGGTGCAGAAAGGCCCCCCTTTGCCCCGCAGCCCCCGGCAGCTCTGGCGGGGGTTGGGCGCTGGCCGACGAGGGCCTGGCTGCTTTCGAGGCCAGTGGCGGAAATGGGAAGGGGAAGCCAGGATCGGTCGATGGCCCGGATGGAAGCGCCAGGGGGGTCAGCAGCCAGGGTCCTGTTAGCATTGGGGTGGGGTGGGAGGTGTTGGGCCGCGAGACGCGCGGCCTACCCGAGACTTGCAGCTCCGTCGCATTCCTCGCTGTTTTGTCCAGGAAAGTTGAACTTGAGATGCTTTTTTTTACAAGGTGCTTCCCTGGACAAAACAGCGAGGAATGCGACGGAGCTGCAAGTCTCGGGTAGGCCGCGCGTCTCGCGGCCCAACACCTCCCACCAAACACCTTTCTCCCGCCCAATGCTAAGAAGATCCTGGCTGCCTCCCTTCCCCGCCATCTCTCTAGCGAGAGGGGTGGCAGGTGGGGTGCGGGAGAAGTGTGGGGCATGGAGCGAGACGTGGCTTCTCTTGCCGTCTCTTCTCCCCCCACCCTCACCGGGCATGGCAGGCTTCCTCCGCAGCTTCCAAGCTGCAGGGCAAAAGGCTCACCCCTGGGGATGAATCACTGCAGAAACCAGCCCACGGCAGCCCAGGCCTCCGAAATCTCTCGCTCCCCAGATCGTCCCCCTTGCAAAGAAAGTCCAACCTGATGCAAATGCCGCCTCCAGCCGCCTCTTCATCCTGGTGAAAGTACTCTTTGAAAGGATATTCTGAAGGTGGGGGGGGGAGATTTCCTGCCCATTGGCATCTCCTCACAGGGCTCCTCCTGATGTCCCAGGTGGGGAAAAACATCCCATAAAGGAAGGCATGGAAATCCATACAACTGGGATGTCGGAAGAAGCCCTGTGAGAAATCTCCCCCCTCCCACCTTCAGGTAGTCCTGTGGGCTGGCCGGAGAGGGAGCGTCTTCAGTGAACTTCGATCTTTGTGTCTCTGCAGGCGGCAGCGTCTCCTTCCTCCTTCCTCCTCCTCCTCCTCCTCCTCCTCCTCTCTGGCCTGATTCTCAAATATTTTCAAGCCAAGTAATGTCAAGAGAGGGGAGTATCTCTTCCCCCTCCCTCACCAAAGTTTGCGTGTAGGCATGACATTTCACAAAGCTCCTTTTTTTAGATTTTAGATTTTATTGAACATTTATATGCCGCCCTTTTCCCTGAGGGGACTCAGGGCGGCTTACAACAATGGGGGAAGGGAGTGCAATATTATATTATTATTGGATAGATTGAAGATGATGTAATGAATTGTTATAAATGATCCCAATATTTAGTGTAGCTCTTTGAAAGTGAAGGAATAAATAGTGATAGTCAAACAAATAAGGTACAATGGTAGTGATGTATATAAACATATTTGATTTGATAAGATGTGATTTCATATAAATTGCAAGTGATGACTATGGAAAGGATGCACAAAAACCTTGTAACCCATCGACACTACACTGTATGCGATGAAGGATGGTTTTATCTGTTTATGTCTTGTTTGTCTATGTCTGTCTAAAAATAAAAAGTAAATTAGAAAAAAGGACACGTCCTATTTTCAGGGAAACACAGTATAGCTTTTAAAGATACACATATCTGCATGTATTTATGTCCTGAGTTTTCTTCATAACTTTATCATGATAAGAAACAGTGTTAAATCTCTGCAGAGAGAGAACTCGCTGATTAAGACCTCAATTCTTTCCATTTGATATATTTTTTGTTTAGTTTTCTTTTTCCTTTATCCATAGAAGTAGAAAGAAGGGTTTCTTGCTGAAATCTTTATTCGTGTGCCTATTAAATCCTTAATTTGTTGATTAAAAACAAGCACGTCTTCTGTGCCTTTGGCTCTTCTTATCCTGACGGCCACTGGGGCTGTCCATGCAGGAGGAGTGGCTGTAATTGGTTTCTCCTTTTAAGGGAGCCACGGAAGCTGGTGCTGCATCGGGGCTCCACAGGACTTGGCTTCAACATCGTGGGGGGAGAGGACGGGGAGGGGATTTTTGTCTCCTTCATCCTTGCCGGGGGGCCTGCAGACCTCAGTGGGGAGCTCAGGAAAGGAGACCGCATCATTTCGGTAAGACCCTGCAAAGGGGGGGAAACCAGTCGGGGCTCTTCTTGGCAGGGGACCCTGGACCGTGCGGGGCTCTGCCTGGCAAGGTGGGCGAGGGTGGGGGGATAAGACCTCTGTGACCCACCAGGAGGCAGCTTGGCCGTCTGCAAGAGGCCGGTTGGGTTCCAAGCTGGTTGATTTGGTGACATCCACGTTCTGATGTGAGCAACGTTTCCTTTGTGTTACTTTTCAGGTAAATGGCGTGGACCTCAAAGCAGCAACCCACGAAGAGGCAGCCGCTGCCTTGAAAAATGCCGGTCAGTCCGTCACTATCGTAGCCCAGTATCGTCCCGAAGGCAAGTGGATGATCAGATTAAACCCTCTCTTTCCCCCTTGGGAATCCACTGCTTTAAGACCTTGCAATGGCTGGGAGGCTGAGAAAGCCTCGGGGCCTCCTGCCGTCTTCATGGCGATGGAGTTTGCTTCCCAGGTGACTTTGTCAAGGGAAGGGGATTGATGCAAGGGGCCAGGACGGGGTCACACTCGGGCCGTGTGTGTGTGTGGGGGGGCCCTCTGAGGCAGGACCCTCTGGTTGGACCTGGGAGAGAGGCTCCCACTGGGCCACCCCACCCCCATTCCGATGGCTCTGACCCTCTTAGTCCTTGGCAGGCCTGGCTCACCCCCCCTCCCCACCTGTGGGTCCAGATGCGCCTCTTCGTTATGCGCGGCCTCCACGTGTCGCCTTTTGCTTCCCTGTGTTCTTTTTCTTTGCCTCCTTTTAAAAAACCCCACCCAGAGACGCAAACTGTGGTTACTCGGTTTGCAACGTTTAAAAAACAAAACGCCTAATAACATATTCCGGTTTCGTTCCGGGATGCTCTTCAGAATGGGAAAATCTGGCTCTGTGGGAAACGACCCTGCATTGCCTCGTCTAGTCCTCAGTTAGTGACGAGTGAGTGGAGCCAGAATTTATGTCAATGAGCACTCTGGTTTTAAGGCCTGGTGTCATTTGACCACATCCGTTGTGAAGTGAGGGTCACAGGTCATTAAGCGAGTTCCTGGTGGCTTGCAGGCAGGTAGGGCACGCGGCATGGCATGAGCATGGTGGGCCGGGGGTGGCTGCTCCTGATGCTGGGCAGGGGAGGGTGCAAGGGACTGACCAGACCAACTGGCCACCATCCCTGCCAGCTTCCCCTTGGACTCTGCTTGTGGGAAGCTGGCCGGAGAAGTTGCAGATGGCTGTCATGTGACCAAAGGGCACTGCGACTGTCATAAGTGTGAACCAGTTGTACCCACATCACAATCGTGTGAGTGCGGGGTTGCTGGGGTGAGCGGAAATCCTAATATCACTTATAAATATCACTCATTCAGCACTGTCATAACTTGCATGCTAAACTGGTGGCCATTAAACAAGGACCCTAAATTCCTTGGCCGATGGGGTCCGTGGCATGCCCTTTCTGGTGGGGGAGCACGGGGACAAGCCAGTCCCGTGGGGGGGGGAGGGGAGGTGCTTCTTCAGGTAGCCTGGATCTCTCTCGTCCAAAGCCTCCACGGCTATAACCCACCCCTTGGGTTGCACCTGGAAGCAGACAAGACAGTTGGTTTTGGCCCTAACTTCGTTGCTCATTGAATCTGTTAATCTGCTGTTAACTGCTTTTAACAATTTATGATTTTGTTTTCAAATTTTCTTACCTGAATGCTCACCAGAGCACGAGTGGGCTTCAGTCAAACAGATAGATAGATCAACCACGTTTCAGTCTGTCAAATATCTGGAGTAAATTTGTGTACCCTTGCACTATCACTCTGTGTGTGTGTGTGTCTGTCTGTCTGTGTGTGTCTGCATGAGTGACAGAGAGAAAATGAGGGGTTCCACTATCTTTTTGAAATCTTTGGGGTGGGGGGGGGAGAGAAGGATACGTGTTTTGAAGGAAAAGTCTAGGTGGGCGTAAGATTTGGGGCGCCCAAAACCCTGAAATTCCGCAGCCCTGGCATTTGTGGAACTGACCTGAAGAGCCGAGGTGGCGCAGTGGTTAGAGTGCAGTACTGCAGGCTACTTCAGCTGACTGCAGTTCAACAGTTCGGCTGTTCAAATCTCACCGGCTCAAAGGTTGACTCAGCCTTCCATCCTTCCGAGGTGGGTGAAATGAGGACCCAGATTGTTGTTGGGGG